AGTAAGTGTGAAGAAAACAAATAAATAAAATCCACAATAACATTGTAGATTAAACTTTTTTAAATCCGAATTGAATGCTGACAATGAAGGCAAATTCATTATGTGGTCAGAAAGTGAGTTCCATACTTTGATAATTCTTTCCTTTTTGTGAACAACTTTTTGTAAATTATTTTGAATTAGAAAAAGTAAAAAAATCAGAAAAGGGTAAACCATTAAGATAATTCACAATTTTATAAGCCATAAAAAGATCAACTTTTATTCTGAAATATTCAAGAGATTCAAGTTGAAAGACAATAAATCTTGATAAGTAATCAGCGTATGCAATATGACATCTTTTACTGAATTCTGTCAAAATATTTTTTGACTTTTTCTATGCAACTTATTTTCAAAAGGTGAGGGCTTCCAACTGGAGTACAAGATTTTAGGTGCAGACTGCACATAAACTTTGTAGGCCTTTAACAAAAAATTTTATCATTTTTGTAAATAAAGTTGCTTTTCGTGCCCCGCCAATGAGCACAAAAAGCAACTTTATTTTTTGTTTGTAGTACAGTTAAAGAGTATTTAGATACGCACTTCTTTTTACCTGCCAAAACTTGTAGTTGTTGTAAAAATAGACATGTACCTTTTTTATTTATTAACTGTGTTAAGTCATTTGTTATAACTATTATCTTGTTTAAATATTTGTAAACCACAAATCTTTAGGGTTTTGAAAAGATGCAAAAGTTGGTTTTGCAACTTTACAAGGAATAGTAATCGTTTTAAGGAATTTTGTAATGAACCCTGTATATGCATTGCACAAATCTTGACCGTCTTTCTATCATCATGTCCTACTCCAAGTAGTTCTCTTACTACTGTTTTAAGTACTTTAGATAATTCACCACTTGAGCACATAAGTAATTTATCACCACTAAATTACAAGCCTTTATTTTCCAAACATTCTGTTAACAATGAATTGGCATGAAACAAGAGGAGAAAAAAGCCCTAGAAAAAAAAGGTTTGAATACCAGATTGTCCTATTTAACTTCTCAGCATGCTGTTACATCCAGCATGTATTAAAAAAAAATTAGTAATAGTGACAGCAAAATTAAAAAGCATGGCATACAAGTTGAAAGTACTGAGACAAAAAGTTACATAAAAAAAAACAATTTGTTAAAGTTTAGAGAGCTAAACTTAGAGATCTTAAACAAAAGTTGCAAACATATTGTTACAGTAAGATAATACGCAATCTTAAAGCTTAAAAAAAAGGCAATGAAAATTTCAGAACTTTTAAAGCTAAAATAAGTTAAAGTTGTACATAATAAAGATATTAAGACAAATAAAATGCTGATAGCTAGTTACGAATATTTGCTTGCATATATGTAAAGCAGTTGATCATCTAGCTTTTATTTAGATTTTCATTTAGCATCTTTTAATGATAGTGATCAATCGATCATCTCAAATACATCAAACGCAATGTCAGGCAAAGTTAAAATTAACCATCTTACCATAAGCAAACTGTGTGACATATAAGGGGAAAATTTTAATGAACTAAACTGCCATTTACACGCTATTGATATAATTGCTACCTCATGGCTGGGTATGATTGTATGGCATTTAAAATAGTTTTGGCTATGAACAAGTTGAGGTTTAAACATGGCAAAGGTGATTCAGAAAGATTTGTTAATTTTTAGATGATCAAAAACTACCACGAGGTATCATTCCAAGGTATCAAGAAAAATCGTCTGCATATTTTTTTTCATACTTGTTTTATTTTTATAAAACATTTAATAAGTTGGAGCATTTTTTTAACCATTGGAACAGTAATATGCAGAACTATACAAACAATTCTTAGAGCAGTATTTTGTAACAAAACAGCTCTAAAGCAAAAGTGTGTGCTTGCATTATTTGGAAAACCACCTTCTCAAAGTCACATAAAACTTTGTCATCCAGTTTCCAGCCTGGATGACAAAGTTTTGTGTGACTGTTGAGGAGGCAAATTTTGACCATTATAGTGGAATCCTGGTATTAAAAAATATTTTACTAAAAATTGCAGATTTTAAATCAAATCCAGGTTCACTTTTTAATATGACCTTAAACCAAATATTTTAGATCCAATAAAAAATGTTTTGTTTGATTGATGAACACTTTATCAATATGACTTTTGCTTGTCTTATTGCAGTGGGAGACGTCATAACTCATCAATGTAAGAGGTATTTCTCACTTTCTATTAACCAGACTCTCAAGGAGGAAGTAGCATGTGCAAGGCTTCACGATATAAATAGTGAAGAGTTAATGGGAATGTTTAGTGAGGCTGAAGAAAGATCCCCTAATGTAACAATTTGTTATGTTTCATACAAATTTAAATACCTAGATAGTTTAAATCAATTATCTAGAGAAAATATAGTTACTATTTAAAAACTTTGGCATATAAAATTCGCCGAATGGTCACACACGAGCAGTGAACGCCTGAGGGAAGAAATGAAATACATTAGAATAAAGGAGAATTATTTATTAGACAAAG